AACCCCCTTAACTTTTATAAATCGTGTTACCTAAAAGTCATAAACAATATAAATTACTGAAATTCTATCTAAAAAAAAATTGGGCATATTGATTGCAAAATATTCGGTTACAGTGTGAATGATAGATTTACATCCAAGTGAGAAATAAAGGAATAACTAAGCATATAGAATCCTTGTGATCATCTGGAATAAATGTATCTTCTATGTATTATACTCAGGATTTCAATTTGATTAGTTTCAATGAATCATTATGGAACTTAATACTAGTTCATGAATATCCATTCATTCTACATTCTTTTTATTCATGGGGTGGCTTGTAAAAGTTTTGCTCTAACTAGAAAGCGTCACCCGGGCTTTAAAATTATAGAAGCAGCCCAAGAATTCAAAAATTAAATAAAAATAAGCATATCAAAAAGTAGTAGGTGCTCGTACCATACTTATACAGTTCCCACCTAATTTTAAGAATTTATATAATTTGGCTGCCCCAAAAAAAAAAAAATTACGTGACACTAATAATTTTAATTAACACTAACAATGTGAATTCATCTGATTTTTGCTACTATAATTGACTGCTCAAAAATATTATATATGTTCTGGGTTATCTAAAAATAAGAAAAAGCCATCCAATATATACAAATTAATCTTGTGCTCCAAACGATATTGAATTATAAATCAATATTAATGCTCAAAGATTGGCAAGTGTGATGTCACATAAAGCCCTTAAAAGTGAGAGTGGCTATATATACAAAGGACAAAATAAGAATAAAAACCCAATACAAGGAAAGGAATAATCTTCCAGAAAATTGTGTGCCTTTAATTTTTGCACTATAAATTCATACCAATATAGTGCTGAGTCCGAAAACTGAGGAAACATAAAGAGTGAGACAAAAAATTGATCATAAAGAATCAAAGCAAAGAGAAGTTAAGAAGAAGAAAAAAGAATGGAATGGAAGAAGTATTATCTGGATGCAATTCTGGTGCCCTTAGGGTTTGTAATTACAATTACTTATTATGTTTGGTTATGGCATAAGGTTCGAACACAGCCTCTCACCACCACCTTTGGAATCAACTCTCATATCCGACGCTCCTGGGTTTCTTTCATCCTGAAGGTAATCATCATAGTTATCTCTGTCTGTAATTTAAAACAACTTAGCTAATTATAAATAAGTTCGAATAATATTTTACTTATATATATTGCTGCTTATTCACACTGATTGATAAACAAATCCTTTTAAAAATAAACTTCTCTCTTACTTGCTAATCGAATAATTAAGCATGGGCTAATACCTTTGTTAATGGTTATATTTTGATTGAATTTTGATTTTGATTTCTATGATTTCAAATCGTTGGTGTTTCATCCCTATAGTTACCTAAGAATTTGGTTTGAATTCAATGGTCTCCATACTTTCAATGATTTTTGGTTTTGTTCGTATATTTAAACTCAGATTGAGTTCTTATAAAATTATAAGAATTAAAACTAATGATTTGAAATTATAGAGATCAAAATCAAAATTCGATCAAATTTTCTTTATGAATATAGTAATTAAATGATGTTGTTGATGTGTGTGCATAGGATTTAGAAAAGAAGAACGTTGCGGCAGCTCAGTCGCTTCGGAATCAATTAATCGGATGCACTCTTATGGCCACAACCTCCATCCTCTTAGCTGCAGGTCTAGCGGCAGTGATAAGCAGCACTTACAGCGCAAAGAAACCTCTAAACGACGCCGTCTTTGGAGCCGAGTACAACGAATTCGTGGTGTCTCTCAAGTACGTAACCATCCTCACCATCTTCATCTTCTCCTTCTTCTGTCACTCTCTCTCCATCAGGCTGCTCAACCAAGTGGGCATCCTCATATGCGCTCCGCGAGACGACGTCGTTGTGGCCTCCATATTGACCCCAAACTACTTGACCGACCTCTTGGAGAAGGGCACTATGCTGAACACAGTGGGCAACAGGCTTTTTTATTCGGCTCTGCCTCTTTTGCTTTGGATCTTCGGACCTCTCCTCGTCCTCCTCTGCAACATGGCTATTTTGCCTGTGCTTTACAACTTTGACTTTGTTGGCGGGAACAATAATAACAGGAAAGTGACGAAGGTGGAGACGAGCAGTGACAGAGGAGATGTGATGAGTTAATTGTGTGATCTTTTTTCATTCAGTGCAGTTGGAGATATGCATGGAGCCTGTAGGCATGATATATAGTGGGTCTCAACAATCAAAATGGAACTCATCACCAGGCCTATATATATGTGTATGTATTTATGTGTCTACTCTGATTGCGTGGATCGTACTCTCTCTTGTACTAAGTATATGAGCTAATTCAAGGGTTTGATATGGTTTTAAATATAAAACATCAATACATTTTATCTTCTAAATTTATAAATTTCTTTCCAAACTATTTTGGTGGATCTATTTTGATTTTGGTCTTTCAAATTTCAAAATCGGGGTTTCAATCTTTAAAGTCTACTTTGTCTTAAAAAATTTTGGTCCTTAGGGGTGCAACAATATGAAAAATCTATTGAAACGTTTGAAATGTAAGATCTTGTGTGGATAAGAGTTGGAGGGGGAAGAAGAAAAGAACAAGTCCCAAAATGCAATTGTCCCCTTTTCGTTTGAAAAGTGTTGTATCTTGACATTAAATTTTAAAAACTAAAATCACGAGTTTGAAATTTGATAGACAAAATCAAAATGAGCTCAATAGACAAAATCAAAATGAACTCAAATTTTAGGGACAAAAATTATATTAATCCAACTATTTATATGAATTCTACATGTTAAAAGGCAGAACTAGGAATGCAGGCCGGCCCGACCTTACAAGGCTAGCAGGCTTAAAAAGGCCGGCCCTATAAGACCAAAATTTTAAAAATATCCTAATTCGTTAAGCCTAACCCTTAAGCAGATAGGTTCAGGGCTGGCTCACGGGCTTTCAGCCCGTTTAAAAAAATAATGTTATTTGTCATATTTCTCATATATGTTTTATCAAAAATTGAAAATAAATCAATAAAATTATTGGTAAAATGCATAAAAATGAATAAAATTAAGTCACAAATATAAAAGATCATCATATCTAAGTTTCCATCAACATACAAAAACATATAAAATAGCCATAAGTCATAACAAGTCAATAATATTAACATCCTAAAGTTTCATTAAAAGTAGACAAACACTTTCACTAAAAAAACATATTTGAAACCTCATCATCATTATCATCAATTGCAATGATATCTGTGCTTTACTAGTAATAGGCTCTTCTTCACTTCTAAAAATATCAATAATATCTTCTCAATACTATTTAACTATTATGGAGTCTAATATGACTTCTATTCACATGTATAGTTATTCTGGAGTCTAATATGTCTTCTTCTGTCTTTTTGAATTGAATTTTTTACTCACTAGTAAGTTTATTTAAAAGTATCAATGTTAAGTTTGTTTTAGAAGTTTTAACTTGGCAACCACTGGGGATTGATTCTATGTTGTCTGCTTATTTTTTTTCTTAGCCCTTAATTGTGAAAATCACTTTGATGTACAATCTCATGAGAAGTCTAAGATATCTTAGCACTTCGAATTGATTTATAGTATGCTTTTAATGAGGTAACTATGTCATTCTCTTTTTTGTTTTTGTTCATGATGGTCTTTTTTAGTTTTATCTAGTTGTTTGTCTAACTCTATTTAAATATAGAGTAAAAATTTTGATATAGTCACCGGAAAAAAAGTGTTAATTTATTTATTAAAATTTTATAACGTATATACAAATTGGTAATATTTGTTGGTTCCATCATTAAAATTTTTGTTTTAATATGGGGAATATATTTTGTTTATTTTAATATATATATATCTGTTGGTCCAATAAATACAAATTTTAAATTTGATTTAGGATATGGAGAATATATTTTATTTATTTTAATATCATTAGAGACTAAAGTGTAAGCTAAGAGTGAGTAAAAGATTGAAAGTGAGAGGAAGAGTGTGTAAAATATTAGTAACTCAGGTTAGGGTAAAAATATATAAATTAAGAAAAAATTATTATTGGCGGACTCAAACAGGCTGGCCCGTTTATTTTTTGGCCTTACAAGGTTAGCCTTTTTAAGTTCGAGTTCTTTATGAAGACTCCAAATTACAAGTTCAGCTCTCAACTTAAATAGGTTTAAACAGACTCACCCGATAGGCTCCACCTGTTTTCTCAGCCCTATTAAAATCTTTCATCGCATGTGGTTGCAACACAATTGATTAAAAGAGAACAACATATATTAATTATCTATGGCTCCTACATTGGGAACCGCAGAGATTCTTTGAATTAGTGTGTGTACATGTGTAATTAGCGTGCGTTGGCCAAAAAAAAAAAGTAATTGGTGTGCGGATGGCTCAAGAATTGTGAGCTGTGACCTAATTATTAAATTGATTTTGGTTCTAAATATAAGACCTATTTATCATATTTATCAATTTTTTTTTCAAATTACTTTCTCAATCATAATCAAGTAGAAGAAGGAGAGACGATATTAAGGAAAATGATTATGATATTTTAAAAAAAACATATCATATTTTTTATAATTAACTAACTTACATAACTTTCTTAATCTAATCAAACTAGTTAAATAGGTCTTATATTAATGATGGAAGGAGTAGAGTATATTGGTATTAGTGTCTTATTGTAGTAAGCGCAGTACAAAATGAAAAAGACTTCGGAGAATATTTTTCTTAATTTGAAAAATATTTTCCAAACGTACCACAGAAAAAGAAAACCCTTCTTAACAGAATTTGAGAGATGACCAACAGAGACTTTAGAAATAGATTGTTGATGACAACTTCAAAGATTAATTAATTAAAAAAGAAGTATGTTGATTACAGATATTAATCAATCAGAAGAATAATGAAAAATAGTCTCCAAATCTACTACATATACAGGGAGAAGAAGAAGGGGAAAAAAAAAATCCTCTTAATACTAAAGATGAGCACAACTTCAAAGATTGATTCCTAAGAAGAACTATTTAATTGATGAAATCATCTAAACTTTTGATAGTTTATCAGCACTACAAAGCGGGTTTTGTTTTCTGATGAGTCGACGACCCCTTCGCTTATAATCCGCAGCGCATGAATGTTCTTGTGGATATCTATGTTTCCCACAAAACAAGTCTCCACATCGGCACCTGAATCCTGTTAGCCCGACCTTTTTATTGCAACTCTTGCATCTCTTTTTCTCTTGAGATTCATCAGGTGGTTTAGAAACGGCGGCCGCAAAGTTCATGCCGGTCGACGAGGACTCATCATTCTTGTGTTCATCAGATGAAGAAGCAGATGGAGAAGAAGACGATATGGTGAGGTTTCTAATTGATTCACTGATTATCATGTTTTGATTGATCTTGGAAATATGATCCTTGTAACACTTGGAGCACATGTTATGATTCGCGTAAGAGCCGAAGAAGCCACAGCCATTAACGCAGAGTTCTGGATCCATATGACGACGACGACGATGATTCCCAGAAATTATTGTTCTGATATGATCAGAGAGCGTTTCAGAAGGAGTGAGAGTTGTAAGAGATTTGAAAGGAAGAGATTTGAGAGGTGTGGCCTGTGGGGGGTTCTATTTATAGGGCTAGCTTGCGCCAAACTCTTGGTTAGATCTCAAACAATGATAAGTATATTTTATCCAAAAAGATTACGATAAATCAGTAATATTTTTTCAAACAGGATTTCATGGATATTTTAAATCATAAATTAAATTTAAATTGAAGTTTGAAATTGATCTATATATTGAACTAATTACAATATCAATCTTATCCCAAATTCTCATTTTGAAGAGAAGAGGCCACTTCTTTTTCGAATAATTTAGCTACTTATTGTTATATTGAATGATAATATGTGTGTGTATAAAATCCCAAACTCTTATCAAGTCGTCTTCTTTTTTTTCTTCAATTTTTCAAGCGTCATTTTTTTCGCTGCTTATTATTATTTATTTGTTATTGCTTATTGAAATAATTTAACGAAAACATTTCAAAATATTTTGATAAATTAATAAAAAACTGGCATATTTCTTTCAAATTGAAAATAATAAATTTTATATTTTAAATGGATGATAATGCCTCTTTCAAAGTATTTCTTTTATTATTTATTGAATTATAGTACGTGAATATTAAACATATATAATATTATGCCCTGATAGAATACGCTGATATGTTTCATTAGTTTTTTAATTACTGTCCAACGTTTGAGGCTTTAGATGTGATGCACTCTACTTAATGGAGTTCTCCAAGTTTAAAATCTCGTATTTAAAATCTCACATTTAAAATTCATACGTTTAAAATCTTTTATTAGGAGGGTATAAAAAAGACCCACACCTTTTTTTTTTTTGGTAAGAAAAGAGGCCTTAGGCCCAAAACAAAAAAAGTAAAAAAAAAAAATCAAGGGGGCAAGCGCCCAGAGACATCCGCAGCACGTCTTGCAACTTCGGCGTCTTCTACCTTGTCTTCCTCAACTAGTTTTGTTAGTGCCGAGGGGGTTTCCTCCCACGTATGACAACCTAACTCCAACCCAAACCCCAGTTCCGCCAAAGCGTCAGCACAAGCATTCGCCTTCCTGTCCACTTTACAAATTCTGACATTCCAGCTTCTTTCAAGCATCTGCAAAATCCGGCGAAAGACAGGGGGAATAAAGCTCCCTTCTATCATCTTCCCTCGTAGCATTCTAATCAGCACCTCCGAATCAGATTCAACAATCACTTGATGATACCCCTTTTGCCAAGCAATTTCCAACCCTCTAAGCATTCCCTATCCTTCAGCTTCCAAGACTCCACAAAAACCCAGCCTTTGCGTGAAACCACATATCCAGTTTCCTTGGTGATTTCTCAACAGACCCCCACAGCATGCAGAACCCGGATCCCCACGACAAGCCCCATCCGAATTGATTTTAATCCACCCTGAATCAAGAGGTTCCCATCGGCAGAGAGACGAACATAAAGGTGGAATCTTTGAAGTTGAAAGCTTGCAAAGAGTCCCCTTCACCTCCAAAATCTCCAGAGCCATCGACCAAATCTTCTGAGCTATCACTCTACTATCAGGAATAGAGCCACAAAACACTCTCTCATTCCGGCTTCTCCATAACACAGAACATGCAACTCCGAATACAATGCTCCAAGGTATGTTCCTTGTTCTTCTGTTAGAGGCTAAATTATTTTCAATCCATCTTTGTAATGTGACTGAGAAAAATTCTGGGTTTTGTTGCTTTGTTGAAAAAATCTGCTTCCAAACATTGTTAGCGAAAGGACAATCTCTGACCACATGAATGGATGTTTCCAACCTTCCACACATATCACACATACCATTCTCCCCCCATCGTCGGTATCGTAACCCTCTCGTATGTAATCGATCTAAGGATAATAACCAGAGGAAACATCGGATCCTTTCAGGACCATTCCATTTCCAAACAAGCTCCCATACACGTTCCTTCACCCCCAATTTCTCTCCCCTTATACCCCGATATCCCTCTTTGACTGAGTAATTACCATTGCCACCTTTCCAGAGAATAACATCACGACCCACCCCAACAGGGGGATGAAAAGCGTTAATTTTCTCCACCATATCTGTATTGAGTAAGAACTGGAATTTCTCCCAACGCCACTTCCCTTCACTATTAACCATGTCCGCAACCGACCACTCCAACCACTCATCACATATTGCTTGAGAACAATGATCAATTAAAATTGTCTCCTTGTCTAGCCATGGTTCAAGCCAAAAAGAGGTGCTTCTTCCGTCAACAATTCCTTTCCACGCATTATCATTAAGAGTTTCCCACACTGCTTCTAGGTCCCTCCAAAGGGCCGAAGCATTCTTTGGAACTGGTAGGATTGAAGAGAGCTCAATACCATTATTATACTTATGCCTCAGAACTTCACCCCAAAGCCCTTCCTCGCCATTCCTTAGAGCCCAAGCCAATTTCAATAGGCAAGCTTTATTCATGTCTCGCAAATTCAGAACCCCCATTCCCCCATTTACTTTAGGTTTCTGCATAATCTCCCACTTCACAAGATGCATCTTCTTATCCTCCCCCTTATGTCCCCAAATAAAATTTCTTTGCACTCTTTCAATTTCATCAGTAATCCCTTTTGGAAGAAGGGAGACTAACATAGGGTAAATAGGCATAGAGCCCAGAACAGATTTAGCAAGAGTTACTCTACCCGCCATGCTTAGACAATTAATTTTCCAACCTGCCAACCGCTTTTTAACTTTCTCAAGAACAAAATTAAACTCCTTATTTCTACCTCTATCAAACATAAGAGGCATACCCAAATATTTACCCAGATTACTAGTTTCTTCAAAGCCAGATAGACCAGTTAGGTTCCTTCTGATATCCTCAGCCACATTTCTTGAAAAGTAAATTAGAGACTTTTCTTTATTTACTTTCTGCCCAGAAAGAGTACAGAATCTCTCCAAGCAGCTCATAGTGATCCTCATCTGCTCCTCCGATGCAACCCCAAACAAGAGAAGATCATCAGCAAACATCAAATGAGTAACCTCCGGTCCTGCTCTACCCACTCGAATAGACTTCCATTGCCCTCTTTCTTTCACATCTTGAATGATATGACTCAATTTTTCCATTGCAAGAACAAAGATATAGGGAGAAAGAGGATCCCCCTGCCTCACCCCTCTAGTTGGCATGAATTTTTCTGTCTTTTCGCCATTCCAAATTATCTGCATAGAAACAGAAGTAATGCACTTCATGATAAGATCTCTGAACTTTGCATCAACCTTTAACTCACGAAATATTTTTTCAACACAAGACCAGCTCAATCTGTCATAGGCCTTTTCTAAATCTATCTTCAAAGCAAAATAGCCAACTTTCCCTCTCAAGTGCCTCATTGAATGAAATAATTCCTGCGCCACAATAATATTATCTTGTATGCGTCGACCCGGCACAAAACTAGCTTGATTAGGGGCAACTACTTTGTTCAACCATCTCTTCATCCTACCAACCAAAATCTTAGACAAACATTTATAAGCAACATTACATAGACCAATGGGTCTCATTTGCTTTAAGTAGATTGGCCTTTCCACTTTTGGAATCAAGACCAGTAAAGTGCCATTAACCTCCTCTAATCTCTCTTCTCCTTTCCAAAGTTTCTGAACATATGTACACAAGTCATTTCCAATCACCCCCCACTCCTTTTGGAAAAAAAGAGCAGGGAATCCATCTTCCCCTGGGGCTTTGAAGGCTCCAATAGAGAAAATGGCTTCTCTTATTTCCTCAATCATAGGTATACGACACATACCAGAAACATCCACTTCTGAAAGTTTAGGATAAGAAATAGTTAAATCAGGTATATCACCACTGTGATTATTTTGATCCTCTTCTTCAAACAACTTAGCATAGAAATTCCAGGCCATACATTTCAATTCTTCATTATCCTCCACCCAATCACCCTCATCATTCATAAGCATCACAACTTTATTCCTTCTTCTTCTCGTAACTGTACGAATATGATAAAATTTAGTATTCTGATCACCATCATTAATCCACTCACCTCTAGATTTTTGAAACCAAAGAACCTCCTCCTGTTGCAACACCTCCTCCAGCTCATCTTGAAGTTTTCCTTCTAAAATGACAAGTGAGGTAATTGGCCTATTAAGAGAACTCATTTTGCGTTGAATCCCATCAATTCTAGCTAACAACCTCCTCTTTTTTTGTTGGATATGTAGGAAAACTTCCTTATTCCAGACTACCAGTTTATCTTTCAAATTCTCTAGTGTTTTCCTCCAGTTACCCCCTTTCCTCCAGTTCTCCTTCAGCATGTCTTCAAAATTATTATGAATAAGCCAGGCAGCTTCAAACTGAAAAGGTCTCACAGCCAGGTTTCTCTTAGTATCATCCAAACACAACAAAAGAGGGTTATGATCTGAGCAACCCAATCGAGGTAAATTTTTTATCACCGCGTTAGGAAAGAGACAACTCCAAGAACTACTGCATAATCCTCTGTCTAACCTTTCAAAGATTCTATCATAGCCATGAATAACTGGTCCCTTCCAAGTAAATCTGTTACCCCAAGATATCACTTCCATTAAATTGCAATTGTTGATTCTCTCTTCAAACAATTCACATCTTCTATGATTGATAGGAGCACCACCCTTCTTCTCATTCTCCCCTCTTATATCATTAAAATCACCCATTATCAACCAAGGAGCATTGACAGATTGAGCAAAACTTTCCATATCAACCCAGAAGCGTTGTTTATCCCGTTCACGTGGCCCAACATAAGCCACTGTAAAAAACCACTCAGTCTCTTCCTTTAATTTAAGAAGCACATACTGTGAATTTTCAACCTCTACAGATAGTGAAACAAGCTCCTCCTTCCAAGCCACCCAAATCCCTCCAGCAAACCCCACACCTAGAACAACAACCCAGCAATTAAATCCCAAACGTCTGAATAAGCCATCAGCTTTATTTTTGTCCACCCTTGTCTCCAAAAGCCCTAAAATAGCAGGCTTCCTTTCTTGAACAAGCATTCTTAGGCCACTCTCAAACCTCCTACTTCCAGCTCCTCTACAATTCCATATTAAAAACTTGCAACTGTTACTCATCATAGTATAAGGAATATTAAAAGGGCAATAAACCCATCAGTCAATGCTCATCACGGCCTCAGCCCAATGCTCATCCTTGTCCTCCAGCTCCTTATCTCTCCCTTCCTCTAACAAACTGTCCGTTTTCAAATCAGGTGTTCTGCTCATACCACCTTCCTTGTACATTAATAATTCTCTAGCAATCTCAGGAGTCTCATGCACTATATTAATATCCAGCTCTTGTAAACTGAGCCTCCCACTGTCATTGCTAGCTGTAGTCTTCCCTTCCTCCCTATTTTCTGCTTTTAAACTTTGAGAGGCCTCCAGATTTCTCTTTAACTTGCCACTCAAACCAGATCTATGATTAGAGACCGCAATCGCCAAAGAAGGAACCTCCTTGCTTTCTTCATACACCTTCTCCGTCCTAACCTCCCTCGATGTCCCAGATTTCTTTTTATACCATACCTTATCTGCCACTTGTGTAGACTCCTTAGCAAATCCACCATTCCCCTTATTCTCCTCCTGCACTGATTCTTCCACTACATTCAAGCCAGCAAACCGAGAACCCATGTTTATCTCATTCCCTCCATCAGCAGCATTGCCCCTTTTCTCACTTTGTGGGAACCTTCGTGGTCTCCTTCTATACTGCACTTTAGACCATTCACCAAATATAAAGCACTCAACTATCCCATCAGCTCCTTTCTCTTTTCCACAGCCCCCGTCTTCTGCCCCTTTCCTCTCCTTACATTCCCTTTCCGTATGCCCATACATACCACAGCAAAAACACAAGAGGTGAAGACCTTCATAAGTAATTGGCCTTTCCTTATTCCCAATAATATACAGGGGGAGTAGTGGTTTCCTTAAATCAACTTGCACTCCCACTCTTGCATATCCCCCTCTTGATTGAAGAGAGGTAGTCATATCAACTTTGACCGTCCTACCAATCTCATTGCCCATTGCTTCTAAAATGCTTTCATCATAGTATTCAAGAGGTAAATCAGGAAATCTAATCCAGATCAGAACGTCCTCAATAGCTTCGATTTTGGGATCAAAATTCAGCTTCCAATCCCTAACCGTGAGATAGCTATCAGATATCATCCAAGGACCTCCCAACAACGCCAATTCATAGTCATCCATAGTAGAAAAATTAACCACAAAAAAATCATTTGAAAGATCCACCACCGAGACAACCCCAGATCTAGCCCACATTTTCTGGATTCTCTGTTCCATACGATTAAGCCCCAATCTCTTGCCCAACAGCTTCACAATGAGGCTTAACTTAAATGGTTTTCTAATCTTTTGCAGGGCCCTTTCAGAAAGCACAAACTCAGGTATCTCAAATTTACCTCTCTAATGCTTAAGAATAGAGATATGGCACTTCATCGGACCAAATTCTAGCTCATCTTCCTCCATCGCTTCATCTCTGTTGGTCGCGTCTCGTTGCACATCAGCTCCCTTCAAGGTATCCCTAAACGATCTCACCTTCCCCTCCTCACCAGCTCCATCTGCCACATTCACCTTAATCTTTTTTTTACTTTGCTGCAGTAAATCAGCTTCCTCCGCCGTGCGTCTCCCTGAATCTCTGAGCAAGGGAAAATTCTCCAGCGAGAGCACCTGGTGTTTCGCCATTTTCAAAGAAAAATGATCATTTACATAATAATAATTTGATTTAGACCCACACCTTATTATTTATGTGTCATGTCCACGCTTTTGGATAATGCTGAAGATGATGATTGAGATTTGAAATAATTAGGATAGATTAGGTATTTAAAATTGCAAAGAAATTGTAATTAAAAAATTTTCTTGAATTTGTATCGAATTCATAAAGTTTACACTCATCCGGTCCTTAATATAGGATCTAATTAGAGAATTGATATTAGTTCTATATATAAGACTTATTTTATATGTTTATTAATTTTTGTCTAAATTAGCCATATTGATATTTTCTCAATAATAATCAAGTAGGAAATAAAAGGAGAGAATTAAGAAAGATGTCCAAGATGTTTTAGAAAAAAATTTCATTTTTTAACTGACATTCTTAATTTACAAATTAGTTGATTAGATCTTAGATTAGGTATCGGAGGAACATATCCAAATTTGGTTCTGGTTCTCGTCCAAGTTTGACCCATATTCTCACGAATTCAATCATGACAGTCATTTTGCTTTAGTTGCTTTTTGTGACTTATCCAAAATATTATCAACACAAAATCGGATTCTTCACTGAAGCTTATGAATTATAATATCCATTTTTTGTGGTTAATGCGGATGTTTCTTCCATTCTATAGTTTTGCATTCCCTTAATAGTACATTCCATATTAAAATTTAAAAAGACGACACACATCTTAAATTTTATAAATCGTGTTACTTAAAAAGTCAAACAATATAATTTACCCAAACTCTATAAAGAAAAATTTGTGCATAATCATAGCAAAATATTCAAGTATGACACAAAACAATAAATTTCCATTTGTCGCCATTACAATGTGAATCATAGATTTGCTTGGAAAGTTTTATCCCACGTCTTAGTTATCTGGCCAGGTCCCAGAAAGAAAGAAGGGAATATAAAAATTGGATTAAATGTACCTTCTGTGTATATACTCAACAGTTCAATTTAATTAGTTTCAACGAATCATTATGAAACTTAATATTAGTTCATGAACATTATCTATTCTATATTCTATTCATGCATTGAGGGGCTTGTAAAGTTTTTGCTTTAATTATACAGCGTCACCCAGGTTTTAAAGTTATGCAATGCTAGCTGCCTAAGAATTTAAAAAATTAAATAAAAAGTGGCATATTAAAAAGCTTGGCATATTAATGCCCAAAGCTTGGCAAGCGTGGTGTCTTTTAAAGCCCTTAAAAGTGGGGGTGGATATGCAAGGACAAAATAAGAATCAAAACCCTATTCAAGGAATAATCTTCCAGAAAAATTTTGTCCCTTCTTTTTGGCACTATAAATACATACCAAGTGCTGAGTCCCAAAACTGATGAAACATAATTCTTGAAGAATCAAAGCAAAAGAAGTTAAGAAGAAGGAATGGGGTGGAAGAAGTATTATCTGGATGAGATTCTGGTGCCTTTAGGATTTGTAATTACAATTACTTATTATGTTTGGCTATGGCATAAGGTTCGAACACAACCTTTGATCACCACATTTGGAATCAATTCTCGTATCCGACGGATCTGGGTTCCTTCCATCTTGAAGGTAATCACAATCATCTCTTTATTCCGTAGTTTAAAACCACTTAGTTAATTATAAGTCCAAATAACATATTACTTATATATATTGCACCTTTCTTTGGCATTTATATGTATTGCTGCTTATTCATACTGATTGCCATTTTTGTTTTCTAATTCTAGTTCTTCTCAGGTTTTTTTTTGTGCCTAATTATTCTTAAAGGTTTGAGTAAATGACGTATTGTAGCAATCGTATACTAATTTCTAGGCTACTATTATCTGTCAGAATAATTAATTACTACCTCTGATTTTTAATATAATTTGAACTACAAACTAATTTTATATCAAGGACTCGAGGTTGTATTAGCTTGATGTGTGAAACAAAGATTGAGTTCTTGTAGGCGCCCGAGTAAAAATGTGCCCAAAACAATGATTGGAGCTTCAATAGTGTCACCGATTTTAATTAAATTAATATAATATAATTAAAGAAAAGAATCTATGTAAATTAGTTAACTTATTGGCAATTATTTTTTTAACAAAAATCAAACTTGTGTTTTTATAAATATAAATGAATAATTTTGGTAATGATGCGTGAGCAGGATTTAGATAAGAAGAACGTATTGGCAGTTCTGTGCCTTCGGAATCTGATGATGGGGTGCGCTCTTATGGCCACCACCTCCATCGTCCTATCTGCAGGTCTAGCGACCGTGATAAGCAGCATTTACAGCGTCAAGAAGCCTCTAAACGACGCCGTCTACGGAGGCGATTACAGCGAGTTCTTGGTGTCCCTTAAGTACGTAACTATCCTCGCCTTCTTCATATTCTGCTTCTTCTGCCACTGTCTCTCCCTCAGATCCTTCAGCCAACTGAGCACCCTCATATGCACTCCGCCGCCGGCAGGAGACGACGTCGTTGCGGCCTCCGTGGTGACCCCACAATACTTGACTCAACTGTTGGAGAAGGGCACTGTGCTGAACACAGTGGGCAATAGGCTTTTCTATTCGGCTCTGCCTCTCTTGCTTTGGATCTTCGGACCTGTCTTCGTTTTACTCTGCAATATCGCTATTTTGGCTGTGCTTTACCACTTGGACTTTGTTGGTGGCAGCTATGATGGGAAAGTGAAGCTCCGCATCGACCATCTGTGACAAAAGAGATGACTTTGGATGACCTCTTAGCAAGAATTATAACGAAATTCCAAAGAAAAAAATAATTATTAATAAATTCTAATAGCAGGTGAATAGTTGCTATTTATTATTATGAAATTAAACTTATTATTGTAGACTGGTCTGTTGACGTCATAAGAACTTTTTAATAATTATGTTTCTTACTTAGAACTTCATAGCAATTTCCCCACCTTTTAACCAAAACTGAAGATGAAACATCAAACTATTCATAGTTTATGAAGCGCATGATTTATAGTAGTATATTATATATATACATACTACTTCCGGTTCTAAATATAAAATTTAGTTTATAATTCAATTTACACTATTCACCAAACTAAATCTAAATCTAGATTTCATATTTAGAACTAGAGGTAGTGTGTGTATTATCCAGGTTGCCTGAATCATTCATTAGCGCATAGCAAAGTGATGAAATGAGCCAAGGACACTAATCACCAAACTAAAATTAATATCTATCTAACTTAGTTCGTTCCTCTATATCTCTTATATGCATTCATCAGTACTTGTGTAATTGGAGGAAAAGAATCCCTTCGGTTTACTTACCGTTCACTTCCCTCCACTTCTTTATTCCCTTCCCTGAAATTGGTGTGGGTATGGGTCAAGATTGACACATAGACCAGTGAGGATGTTAGTGTTTTAGCAGTAGAAGCTATAGACAAGCACAGGCAGAATGGATAATTTTGAGTTTGTGGAGAGATTATTACTGATTAGTGATATATCGATATATACATTAATAACTAAATAAATGCATTCTTTATAACTTTGGGTTGTGATCTGTGGTGTTAGTGCCTTACTGGCATAAATATTAGAACATTTGCCCCGCGACACTAAGGGGATATATATTCAGGATTATTTTTTGGTACACAATTCTATTTGAGATAATGTTAAGCACTAAATATGGACATCTCTCTTGAGGGGAATTTCAACTATAGTTGATTACGTTACGAGGGATTAACCCCTTCTACTAGACTAAAACCCTATTGGTATTTTCATGACTTTAATAATGAAACAGATTATTACAATGCATACTTGGTGCTTTTTTTTTAAATAAAAAAATGACTACACAACGTTTATTATTATTTTGGGATTGCTTGTCAGTGTCACACAGTTAAAATGTTACTTGTAACATTTGCATAAGATTAGTTTATTTTATAAGTATAAAAAAGATGTTATTAACATTTAATTCCTAGATTTTGTGTAGCATGTTGTTGTCACTACAAAAAACAGCTAATTAACGATGGAAAAAAATTCCACCGCTAATTTCTGATGTAATTGCGAAGGAAATTCAGTCGCTAATTTTTTTCCGTTGCTAATCCGTCAGAAAATCCGTCAATAAATATTTAGCGACGGAATTTTTTCTGTCAGAAATTTTCGTCGCTAATTCTATTCCGTCGCTAATCCGTCACTAATTTTAAATATTGTTATTTTAAATTATAATCTTACAAACATTTATATAATATCGATTAAGAATATAATGATTTAAAAACATTTTTAATTATAAAATAAATTGATATATTTATGGAGTTGGTGTTAATGAAGATATTGTCATCATTCATGTCATCATTATGTATACACTGAAAATAGAAAGACAATTTCTTAGAAAACTTGTTTATATTTTGTTAAAATAAATTCCTTTTGATTATTAATAATAATTAAAAAATATAATAAGAATATTAATAACTTTCTTATACAAACTGATATAAGAAAGAAATAATTTTATCATATGTAAAATATATTGAAATATATAATATATGATAGAAATTCAAAACCAAAAAATGAATTTATATGAATGCAAACTAATATTGATGTGAATTTTGAATTTCAATCATTAAACAATAAAATTTAATCATGATATAATTAATACCCATGATATAGATTGATTTTGGTCTTCAATACAAAAACAAATAGTACATATAAAGAATTTTAAGAAAATAAATTACATAGGATATATATACAAGTAGGAGAATACTGTTTATCATAATCTATTCAAATCATTTAATCTTTTATATAGAATAATTTATTAGATTTTATTATAGTAGTTATTTTTTGAATAACAAGATTTTTTGACTAATTGTAAATGATTTTCTTCAAATATATAAAATACATATAAATGATATAATATAATGTAATATAATACACATACAATTAAATTGTATATCTTATCAATGTTAATTAAAAAATAAATTTTAAAAATATTTATAAAAAATTATTTATGATTTAAAATTCAAAATTAGTGTCGTTAGAAATTAAAATTATATTTAAAATATTTTTTTAAAAAATAAAACATTATAAAAAAATAGTAAAACAAATATTTAAAAATTATTTTTCATTAAAATAGTTATGATTAAAATTATCATATAATATATTTTTAGTTTTTAATAATATATATGTATATATAATTGTTTGTGTAGAATAATATTATATATTTAATTTTAATAATAAGTTAACAGATTCATTGCAGTTCAACTGGTAAAGCTGCACGCCTGCACAGAGGAAGTCTTTGGGTTCAAGCCATGGAGAAGTCACTTTGAGTAGGGAATTATATGGTGGTGACACGTGGCACGCAGATGTGAGGTGGCAGCACACATGGAGGTGGTCCCTAGTGATGACGTGGCAATTAGTAGAGGTGCCACGTGACATTTAAAAAACTTTTTTTTAAAAAAAATCGGGTTAGCGACGAAATTTTTTCGTCACTAATTTGCAACGGAATTTTCCGTTGCTAATTTGTCGCTAATTTCGTCACTAAATAAGAAATTCCGTCGCTAAAAACATGTTTTTTTGGAGTGTGTGATCATAAAAGCATGTTTTTTTGTAGTGTGTGATCATACTTAATTATCTAGATTCTTTAATTATATTTAGTAGTTAATTTTTTTGCTTGTGAATGAGTAGCTATTTTCTTAATTTACTTATTCAATTATTCATGTGATTAAATTTTGACATTTGATAATTGATATTGAATATACTTTCAAGTTTTATATTAAGAAGTAATAAGATAGAAGCAATTGAGTTTAAAATAATCATCAAAATCTCCTTCAACTCCTATTTCATCATGATTGAATTATTTAGGGCATGAGATATAAGTGGAAATCTCTTTTATTATTAATAACGACTTCTTGATTAAACAATTGAATAGATTTTGTTTTCATGGCCTTGAAAACAAAAATATGCAATCCCCATGAATAAGTTAGTGTTTCATAGAGTTAAATAATGTAGGTGTGTCATCTAAAATAATTTATGATGAACGAAAGTTATTTTATCAATCATATAAGATAACAAAATAATGTAACTACTAAGAAGGTTTTTATACAAGTAAGGTTGTGGTTCAAATATATTAACACAATATTTATTTGGGTTAATTAATCCGTAAGTCCTTATAGTTTCAACCAATTTTGAATCAGGTCCCTATAGTTTTTTTTCTTTTTATTAGATCCTTATACTTTTACTTTTTTAATTAGGTCCTTGTATTTATTTTTCTTTTAATTAAGTCCTTATAATTTCATTAAATTTTTAATCAGGTCCATGTAGTTTTAATTTTTATTTATTAATTAAATATAAGCTTAATTAAATAGATTAATAATAAAATATAAAATATTAATAAGTAAATTAAATTAATAATTATGTAATAAAAAATAATAGAATTAATTAATTCAGGAACAATTAATTTTTTTGCTGAAAAATTTAAAATCATTATAATAATTCAATATCTTTAGAATATTATTGTTTATAAACTAATATTAAATAATATATACTATTTTATGTTTATATAATAATACTATTAGAATTTATAAAATAAAGAATAAAAAATTCAGGGACTTAATTAAAAATAAAATGAACTTATAAGGATTTGATAAAAAGAAAATAAATACAAGGACCTAATTAAAAACAAGTGAAAGTATAAAGGATCTGATAAAAAGAAAAAAAACTATAAGGACCTAATTCAAAATTCGTTGAAACTATAAGGACTTGCGAATTAATTATCCCTATTTATTTAAATGGTGCAATGCTCGCTGGCTGATGACTCTAAACAATGTTTTTTTTAGTTATTTACATTTTACGTGCACATTCCACTGGCAAATGCAAATGGATTTTTATCGATTTGGGCCCAATGTCGGGGAAAATGTGGGCCCAATAGAATGCTGGGCTATAGACCATATGATAATGCCTGGAGTTTCTTTTTGTTGATGATTTTGATTTGATCAAGGGTAATTGTTTTCAAGACTTAGAACGCAAAGAGGTTTGACATCTCCTAACAAGTTCACTTTTTGAGATTTGAACATGTATTTCTTTCTTGTTGAGTTTTTTTTAATACTAAGTCAAAATATATTATCCAAAATGATGAAAAGTGACATAACAAACCTCCTCAAAAAAGACCAAGACTAGAACCCATTTGAGGAAAGGAGGATGCATAAGAGCCAAAGTAGACAAAGCATCCAAGATACAACCCATCTTCATCAGGAACCAAAAACCAAAACGTACAAAATAAAGCACACTAACAGAAGAAAAGAGAAACAGAGCAAACGAGCAAACCTTAACTTGGAACCATTCTTCTGTGTCTATATTTCAACTGAGAATGCATTTTGTCCTGCAACTTAGAAGCATCAATATGCCTATTATTATTTCAGACTTGTGAAAATAGAAAATGATTCTTGCAATACTGAAAGTGATTAGGGGCACGCGATGGAAGTTTCAATTGGAAACTGATGAAGAAGAAACCACCAAGCAAAACCAACAGACTCCACACACGACACTTGCTGAAAAACCAAAACAAAACAATAAGCAGAAGAAGAACGAACTCTGCAGAACGCCTTTCAGATAGAAGATGTAACGATGATCTAAAGAGCTAGCTAGGATCATCCAAAGTTAATTCAGTATGTTTGATACGTCATATAACTTCCTTATTTTAGGCATAATATTAAGTCAATTCCTGATATAAGAGATAATTAAAAGATGGGTTTAGTTAAACATATAAGATTTCAATTCATTCTATTATCTCCTATATTTATTATGTTTTCTTAAATTAACTTGCATGATTTATAAACTTATGTATAATACAATATTATATAAAGATATTTTAGAGAGATTAAATCATATTTATTCAAATTAACACATTTATTTTATTTTCTCAATCTATCTAAATTAATTAAATAGCCTTTATATTAGGAATTAGGGTGAGTGTTATGTCTTTTTTTTTTTGGGGCTAAGTATGGGTATCTTCTCATTGGAAACAATTTTGTTGGAAACACTATTGAGTATTAAATGCGAGCACATCTCCCACATTTAATGTTAGTACAAATGGAATAAATAACAATAATATCCTATCTGCCAACAAGAATTAGTTCAGTAAGAAATTGTCTCATAACTACAATGTTGTAAATTTGAATCCCACTACAGATATTATGACATTATTGATGGATAAGTTGTAAATATTTCTATAAATACTCTTCAAGCTAAAAGATATAATTTGACCATAGTGAGTCCCAGATCCCAGCTCACCTAACTTCTATTAAAAAAAACGATAATATCCTATCTTATTCTTTCTGTATATATAAGTACAATACATTTTACCCAACATAAAAAAAATGACACACTACTAGTCATCGAAATATCCACGAATACTTGCAGGATAACAAGTCACTCTGGCTGTTAGCACCAGCTCTATTTCTTATTTAAAAAAAATGGAAGTATGTATCCCTTACTTTTAAAATACATAAGCCCCCCAATTTTGGAGCTTGTATCCATTTTATGTGTTTCAATATTAATAAATTATAATTGAATTTAAATAATATTATTATTAAGAAATAATCCATGCGAAATGCATATTAACTTAGTCATGCTTGTCAATCTAGTGCAAAAATCATATATGAGCCCTAAAGTTATTTATTTATTTATTTTTGTTATAAATTTATTTATTTTGTAAAAATATTAACTCAAGATGTGGCACATAAATCAAAATTCAAATTTCTGCTAGAAGAGTCAAACAGAATTGCCTCAAATTAGAATATATTTGTGCCTATAAAAAGAAAATACTACTACCACCTCAAGATTACAAAAGCAAAGTTGTGATTCCCCACTCAAAATTGAAGAGCAAAAAGAGGTGTTACTTATGTCAAAAATCAATAAAATATCGGTAAGCTCTTCTTGATATAGGAAAAATTGGAATAAATTCCTATTTGAAAAGTTAATTGTAGAGTGGGACCTGAACTTTTGAGGTCTTTTTAGAGAATTAAAAAGGGAAATAACATTACCACAATACCCTTAATGAAATACAATTGGGATCAAGCATATGCAATTAAAGATCAAGGATATACAATTAGGATCAGTGATATACAATTAGGTCTTATATATATCTATGCATACGCAATATGCAATCAGGAACAAACATATACAACTGGAGATTAATGATATGTAATTAGGATCAGTAATATATAATTAGATCCTATATATATGTAACTAAACATCTTCAATGTATAACTAGAATCAAATATATGCAATTAGGATTAGTGATATATAATTAGGTCCTATATGCAACTAGGCATCCTTAATATGTAATTAGGATCAAGCATATGCAACTCAGGATCATGGACATGCAATTAGGTCCTATATGTAGCTAGGCATCCTCAATATGTAATTAGGATCAAGCATATACAACTCGGGATCATGGATATGCAATTAGGTCCTATATGCAACTAGGCATTGTAATATACAATTAGGATCAAACATATGCAACTAGGGTTTAAGGATATGCAATTTTGATGAGTGATATGCAATTAGGTCATGTATGTATCTAGGCATATGTAATATGCTTAGAATCTAGCATATGCAACTAGGGATCACAATGTGCAATTAAAATCAATGATATGCAATTAGGTTTCATATGCAACTAGGTATATGCAATATGCAATTAGTATCAAGCATGTGCAACTCGAGATTAAGGATATGCAACTCGAGTTATTTGGTCTTTTTACTCTCAAACTTATTGTCATTTAAGGTCAGGTCCCATTCTACAACTAACTTGTCAAATAGGGATTTATCCCCAATTTTCGTCTTGATATACAATTTAGTCGAAGTTATATATAAATATAAAATATAAATTTCTATAAAACCATGTTATTTATAAGTCTTAAAAACATGTCTAATTTTATCAATAATATGATGAGATAATTATAATTATATATTAAGAAATTCATAAATGCTAATGGGAGAAAAGCAGTGCAATGATCATGAAGAATATAAAATCTGATCAAGTGGATTTAAAAGGCGACAATTGATTTCAAATTTGTCTTATAGCTACATATTGGTTCTCTAGAAGAAGAATGCATACCCTAGGTCAATGATGTATTGTGTGTGTAGTCTTTTTTTTTTTTCGCCAGCATATAGTCTTATGTTATATTATAATCCTCTGGGCTTAAATATAAAATCTATTTTATAATGTAAATATTATATTATTGAGAGGCACACACGAGGCTCCTTGAATGAAGCAAAAGGGCTTATGAAAGGCGGCAAAGAAAGATAACATTAGCGGAGGTTGCTTTTGACAACGAGTTTTATATATATGGTACAACTAAAGCTAAAATTAAATTTAAATAGATTCAAATTTTTAAAGGGATAAATACTTAAATATTTCGGAAGTATTCATGAAGAAGCACTTAACACCTAAAAATTTTTCTTGCTCTATAGAAGTTTATTTTCATAACAAAAATGTCCTGACCGTTATTTGTCATTAAATTTGATTATTTAATTATGCGATTTGACCAGTATTTTTAATGGTCAAACTTAACAGCGATTAATAGTTCAAAGCAACAATATTATGAAATATAAAACCTTTATAGTATATAAGAGCAAAAAAAAAAAAACACTTTCAGAGTACTTCTTCATAGATATTTTGGAATATTTAAGCACTTTATCATTTTTTTTAATGGTACGATTTGTTTTAGAGATTAAACTATATAAAATATTTTTTTTATAAACATTTTATAAGATGTTTTGTGGGTGGCCATCAGCATCTAAAATTGATCTTTTTAAACCTTCTTTCGGGTAAACACGCAGAAGATTATCACATACACATGTTGACGTGTAAACCAATAGTAAAAGATATAATTGTATACTAAACAAGTTTTGAAATTGACTTTTGTTGACGGTGATGACAAAAAATAACATTATTGAAAATTGTCTTCTATCTATATTGAAAGGCAAAAGTAAATCACCAGACGTAATTCTTAAAAATCTAAGACATCACATGATATTATAATATTCAGAACAAAATCCTCTAAGTATTTGAGAAATTAATCATAAATTAACCTAAAACTTTCAATAGATATATCAATGACAATAAATAACAAATGATATTAGCTCCTAACTCTCTTTTTTCACCCAACAAAAAAATCTCCTAAATTTTTTAGTAAGAATAATCCTCATCACTTTAATAACCCATACCATGTTGTCTTGCACTATCTATACCTTCCTTTATAATAAAAAACCTATATATATAATATATTATTTGTCACATTCATTAAAGTATAGAATTGTTTAGAAAATTTAGTGCAGTACGATAAAAAAATTTATTTTGAAAAAAGAGGAATTAAAGAGGTGTGTCATGACAATCTTGAAACAAATAAAATATCAGAAATCTTGTGCTTCGTGCTGCAGCATGCTGGGATTTTTGTTTAGGAATGGTCACCGAAATCTGGGGCTTGCCGTTATCAAGTAAAAGACACATAAATCCACACACCCACTCACATCTTTTTACACATACATATATGCATACATATACATGTATATGTGTATGTGTATATATGTTATCCAATACATACCTGTGTCAGAATTTAGCGTTATCAAGTTCAATTCGAAAGTAACTCTGTTTTTTTTTTTTTCAATTTACGATATGAACCCTTATCTTTGGTGAAGGAATCAAGTATTTAACTCATTCACTCTTGACCTTATTATTATAGCAATATGTGTTGACCTATCCTTATTAAGATGTTATACATATATCTGTTTTTTATATATAGATATATTGATGTTTAACACCTAACTCTTTTTTTTTTTTTTTAATGAGAAACTTAACTCTACATTCTAAGTCCCCTTCGCATAAGAACTGGAAGTTGGACTTTTCAAAAAGTAGTGAAATACATCTTGTTTAGATCGTTAAAAGGCTCGACTTCTACTTGAAAAATTGAGCCTTGGACTTCCTTTAATTTATGAATAGGGAAATAACTTTCTGATAAAAATTGGTAAGTTCTACTTACCTAATATTTTGCTTCGCAAATAAAAAAATAATATTATTTCTAAAAAGAATATAATTGTAACTTCGCAAAAAGTACAAAATTAACTAAGCAACTTATACATATAAATATATATATATATATATATTAACTTCATGAAAATGTTATCTTCTCATGAAATTGCCTAATTGAACCAAGCGAGGGGTAAACACGTAATTAGTTAATTATCTATCGCAATAACTTTGACCTAAATACGTGCTCATCTTGTATAAATAAATTATGTGGAAGAAATTTTCTAATATGACGTAGTATTGATTATATTGGCTTACCTGATTAATTATTCTCGTATTAATTAAAGGATACTCATCATATCTTGCAATAAAATAATACAAATTTAGTATAAAAAAATATTTTTCCAACTTCGACGATTGTTTTGATAATGGTAAGAAATTAAACTTCTGGCCTGAAGAGTGAGACTGAGACCCCCTCTGTAATTAGCTATCATATCTGACCTGTTTCATATATAAATATTAGCTACGATTATTAATGTAAGATATAATGGAGACCAGATTAATATTCAATTCATTTTACTTCT